TGTTAAGGATTTCAGAACAAACTCTGAATATCTACATAATATAGAATGTAATATTTAAAATAGAAAAGCACAGATTTTTTTCCTTATGGTTTTTCCCCAAATTATTTGTGCATAGCGTACAGATAAGGCAGAGCTGAATTTGCAGGTTGTGCCTTACGGTTTTTCCCCAAATTATTTGTGCATAGCATACAGATAAGGCAGAGCTGAATTTGCAGGTTGTGTGAAGTACGTGTAAGAAACTGCTAACATAGCTTAAATGGCAGTATAGATTTCTCTGAGAGACTAGTAATTATTATTCATTGTATCACTTTCCTTGACGATAGTGCACTTCTGGCGAGGCTCGGGAGTCCTTTTGTTCAAGTAAAACATTGAGAACGCTTGCAGAGAATAACAATGAATGAATAAATATGTTTTAAGACACTTCGCTGTAGAGCCAACTTAAGCTCTCCTTGCAAGGAGAGTCTCACTGGATGAGTTGTCTTGGCAGAGAGAAGATGATCCGTAACGAGAACTGCTACAGATCTCCCAGTCTGGCAGCTCTCCAAGAGCGCACCTCTTCTGGGGTAGCTTCGCTCTGAGGGGAAGGTCTGTTTGCATGCTACACGGACGTTAATCTTCGGCTGCTGATAGTATTAGGTCAGGGAAGGAAAAAAAAAAGCAGCGTTGGAACGGGGGCGGCCACCAGCAGTGCTGCGACCAGAAGACGGAAGGCAGGTGCTGCCTGTTCTGGTGTCCTGCCAGAAAGAAGCTGGGCCACCGATCCCAGGCTGACTTCAGAGAAGAAATGGCATCAGGGGAAGAACTTCGTGGAAAAAAAAAAACAGAACTGAAGCATCTGGGTAAGAGGCAAACCGTTGCCTTTACTGTAATTTTGTGGAATGTTTGACAAAATAAGGGACATTTTTGCCTGCTTTCTGACCTGTTTCTCACCAGTAGTGAATATGATCTATGCTGTGGGGTATTCTTTTCATGCACATTTTCAGTTGAGGGCGGAGGACCCTGTATTTCACAATTCCCAGGTTTTTGCCTGTGCTGTAGGCAACAGGCAGTTCAGCACAGATGCCACCTGGGGGAAAAAGTGTAAACATGCAATAGGCGATTTTTGGTGTATCGTTCTGCTGTAGATATGTGGAAAAAGGGCAACGTACGCCACGTAAAGAACACTCATGAAGTGCCAAGCGCGTGTGTATATGCATGAACTATTCTGAGAAGGTGGTAATAACCAAGAACTGATTAGTAACTCCCTTGTGTAACCTGTCCTTGCATTTTCTTCACACTTTCAAATATCTCAATAATACAGTGTCTGTAGGTCATGCTGTTACATCTCAAAGAAGTCTGGGAAAGGCAAAGATATATCTGTGATGCTTTATATGGCTGCGTCCTGCTTAAACATCATATTTGTTTCAGCCTAGATTATAGTTGAGACTCAGTAGTGGGCCACAATAACTTTGGATGCTGTAGAAGGTGTGGGTCCCTTGGAGTTCCTCGCTGGTGTTAATATCCACATCATCCTAACAGAATTAAGTGTAAACTGATGATTTTTCAGGCTTGACACTGAACCAGCTTAGCACAGAAGAGGTAGCAGAAACTGTAGCAAATTTCAGCATTCATCACAAACAGGACTATTTGGGCAAATTACTTCTCACCTGAGAATACATCTCCGCTCTACTCCTCCTCTCTGTTAATTTTCTCATCTGTCTTGGGAGAGCAAAGAGCTCTAGAAAGGGAAGGTTTGCTACTAGCGGCTTGGAAAAATATTTTTGTTTTCTTCTCATATGTTTCCAGCAAGTTCATACCTAGTCACGTCTCAGCGGCCTGAAATAATATTAAAATCGCGTAACTCCCACCTTCTGCTTCCATATATCAAACTCACAAGAGCCAGCGTTTCATTTACAAACCCAACGTCTGTAAGACTCTTTCCACTGTTCTTAGGAGGGGAACATGTGACAGAACAAACTTCAAGAAAGAGATGAAAGAGGATGCATCATCCAAGGAAATGAAAGCTGCAAAATGCCATCAAGACAAACGTTTCTGGGTTTTCCCCAAACGCAAAACTGACCTGCTATTTTCATTGCTTTTCAGGGCCATTTATCTCAGCAGACACAAGGACCCATCCAAGAAGTAACGCAGATGCTCAATGGATGAGAGTTTGCAGGCGCAGCAGG